ACTTGAGGTAGAAGTTCAGTCATGACAGATGATAGAGCAGGGGCTTGATTGACTACATGGTCAACTCCCGATCCGATTTCCTTCATGACTTGCTGACGTGGCAACAAGACTGAGACATTCTGTGAGATGTTTGATGCATATGTGGGCAGAGGGAAATAAAAGATGCAAGGACAGAGTGGCTGAGTGTCGACACAGGCATAAAGTATTTGAGACAAAAAAGCCTGTTCTTCTGCTGTTAATTCTATCTACTCCTAGTTGTACAAAGGTGTATATTGCAGAGATCTACAGCACAGAAAAAGTCAAAACAGCCCATCATGTCAGCCTGGGGAGGAATGCTGAGGTGGGGATATTCTAATACTGAGCTTCTTTGTGCCATACTGCCATTATGTGCTGTGCACAAATAAGCTGCTTCTTGAAGGTAATTATCCTGTAATTCTGTAATTATCTGATGAGAGGTGGAAACCTTCATTCTAGTGAAAAATTGTAGACCCTTTGATAAGCACGGAAGCAAGCAATTCAGCACATTTTGCCTGTGCAAGTGCTCCGGGGAGGCAATGGCCTGGTGAAATTGTTGCTGGGCTGTTAATCCAGAGACCCAGATAATGTTCTCTGGACCCAGGTTCAAATTCTGCCACAGGAGATGGTGGAATTTGTATTCAATGAAAAAAATCTGAATTAAGAATCTAGTGATGACTATGAATTCAATGTCCATTGTCAGAAAATCCCATCTGGTTCACTAATGTCCTTTTAGGGAAGGAAACTGCCATCCTTACCTGGTCCGGCCTATATGTGACTCCAGACCCACAGCAATGTGGTTGACTTATAACTGCCCTCTGGGCAATTAGGGAGTAGCAATAAATGTGGCTTAGTCAGCCAGAAATTTTTTTTAAAAAAAGGAATTAGTCCCATTCCTTTGTACTTTATAAATATTTATCTGTTCTCTTTTTAAAAACATTTTCCACATCCTATCATTGCATGCATTCCAGGTTATAACGCATCACTGCATTATTTTAGCAGAAATTGCTTCACATCACCATCTGCTTCTTTTGCAACTTATCTTAAAATCTATCTTTTGGTTACTAACCCTCCTTTCATTTTGATAATGTTTCTTCTGATTCACACTTTGAAACTCTCACAATTTTAAATAAATAGACCCTCAAGTCAGAAGACTGTGGGTTCAAGTCCCACTCCAGACCTTAAGAGAAAAATATTGATTGATACCCCAGTCTAGTACTGAGGGAGTTCTTTCCTGTTGATTGTACTTCTTTCAGATCAGATGCTAAACCAAAGCTGTGTCCATCCTCTCGGGTTGACGTAAGTGACCCTGTGGTGGGGTACTGATCACAAAAATGACTAGATGATTCATGAGCACATTGCTGTTTGTGAGGGTTTGTTGTGTGCATGTTGGGCTACTATGTTAAGAAAGATTGCAACATTGATTTAAAAAGTACTTTGAGGTATCCAGTGGTTATGTAAGGTGTTATATAAAGGCACATTTCTTTTACCTCTTTTGACTCTGAGAAATGATTCATGGCAAGTTTTTGCAGCCCTTAGCTGTGTAGAGTTTAGCTTGATCAAGTCTTACCACTGCTATATCCCACAAATTGCTAGTCAGTCAGTGGTATGGCAGGTATGGAGCCAGTCTGTGAGATTGATGTCTTTAGATAAATTTACTCTGATTAAATGTATTCCTGAAGGTTTTATCACATGAACTCCTATCTGCAAGTATTACTCCCACTCAATTTGCCATTTCCTTATCCCATCTCCAATATTTCTGCAGCCAAGAAGCCAAGGTGTTCAAAAAGTGGAAAATCCACTGTTTCTTTTACTAGACTTATGGATTTGTTCTGCAGTAATGAATAAGTGATTGACAATTTTAATTTCTGGAGCTTCCAGAGCCATTGATGAAGGTTAGATAGTTTTAAGGCATAAGGAATTTTTATTTTAAATTAAAACGGTCATGGTCAAAATTTATCCTTTAATCAACATTGGGTTTATAGGAAAACAGAAGGACTGTATTCGTATTTCTATTCTTTGTGTGATGTTGCTGTATGTAAATTAGTTGCTGCATTTGCCTACACAACAGAGTGGGTCAGTGTTTTCAAAGTAACCCATCATATTCAAAGTGCTTTGAGATTTTTGAGAGGTGTGATGTCTCACCAGTGATACTTTATAAATGTGTTTTTCTAACCTGTTGTCTTGACTTACATTGATAGTGTACAACTTGAAGTAAAGAATTACGTGATAAAATATGACCTTAATAATGCATAATATGCTAAGTGGTATTTATATATAGACAATGTAAATCCAGGCTAATACTTCTAAACTGACGTATAGTTAGTGGAACGTAAATCTAAACTGTGCTTCAAGATGACCTTCTTTGCTCAATATTCAGTATGAACAACTGGCTAGTCGCCAGGCAATAGAAAAAAGATTAGGTTTATTGAATCATTTAAAACAGCTTCACACATAGGTAATTGCTGAAAGGTAGTGCATTAGCAATTTCTGTGCCACTTTTCTCGAGCACCACTCAACATTCTAACCTCTACCGCCTAGAAGGACAGAAGCTACAGACATGGTGAAGTCCACCACCTTTATGTATCTCTCAAAGCCAAGCACCACCCTGGTTTGGGTATATAACTATTCCTTTTGTCGTAGCTGGGTTCAAATTCTGAAATGGTCAAACAATTGTTGACGTGGTTGTATTTTCAACACTCAGCCTGGGAAGCTGTTGACAGTGACTCTCCACTACATTCTCAGTGACAAATAGGTACAGGCAATCAGTGCTGGCCTTGTCTTTTTCCTGGCAACAGATTTAAAAAAACAAACTGTAGAGAGTTAAATGGGCAGAAGGAATTAGTTTAGTTCAAAAAGATCATCGACATGATGTTGGATTTTATTTTTAGATTTTAAGTCAAGTAAAACATATTTTGATTTTAAAAACATAAGTTATTCAGGTACTAGGAAATAATTCAAGTATATTCAGAAACAAATTGCTGGATTAACTCTGCAGTTCTGGCAGCATCTGTGGAGAGAAATCAGAGTTAATGTTTCAGGATCAGTGACCCTTCTTCAGAACCCTTCTGAAGTTCTTTTTTGTTTTTAACTTCAGTACATTTTCTTGACGAGAAAACAATACAAGTCTGAATATTTCTCTGAAGAGTTTATCTTGATTAGTATTTTCATTTGCATTCTTATGTCTTGGTATGATATCATTTTAGATGAGACTGTGATGTTTTCCAGGATGACCATTCTGGTATGACGTGGTATTTGCCACCTTTTATTAGTATGTGATACAGCATGTTATTTGAGGTGGTTTGCTGCCACTAAAGTACTTTGCATGTGCTATATCTTGGGTCTGTCTGACAATTAGTGGTAGAGACAGACACCATGATAGGGTATCTGCAATATATGTTAATGACTTTGAGGAAAGTGAATGTACTTTAGCCAAGTTTGAGGATGGCACAAAAATAGTTGGGAATGGAAGTATTGAGGACACATTGAGTCGAGACAGGGCTACAGACAGGTTAAGTGAGTGGGCAAAAACTCGGCAGATGGAATGTATTGTTGCAAAATGTGAGGTTATGAACTTTGGCAGGAAAATGGAGGAGCTGAATATTATTTAAATGGAAAAAGACTGCTGAAAACTACATCACATAGAGATTTGAGAATCCTTGTGCATAAATCACAAAAAGCTAGCATTCACGTTCAGCAGGTTATAGGGAAGACAAATGTAATGTTGACTTATATTTCAAAGGAAAGGGAATATATAAAATAGTTAGGTCTTGCTAAAACTACATAAGGAAATAATCAGACTACAGCTTAAGTATTGTGTGCAGTTTTGGGCCTCTTAGGCATTGTAAACAGTCAAGAGAAGGTTCATTAGGCTGATTTCAGGTATAGAAGGACTGTCTTAGGAGAGTTTGAGTAGATTGGGCCTGTACTCATTGCTTTTAATTCTTCTAAATTCCAATTTAATTGAAACATGCAAAATTTTTTCAGGACTTGACAGGTTAGATGCTGAGAGGTTGTTTCCTTTGTGTGACAGTCTAAGACCGAAGGGTGTAATCTTGCACTAAAGGGTCACCATTAGACAGAGATGAGGATGAATTCCTTCTCTGAGGTTAGTGAATCTGTGGAATTGTTTAGTGCAGAAGGCTGCAAAGGCTGGATCATTAAGTATATTTGAGGGTGAGAGAATTGAAGATTGTGGAGGAAAGTGGAGCTGAGTATTATCAATATATATGATCTCACTGAATGGCAAGGCAGAATCAATGGGCTGAGTTACCTGCTTTTACACGTCTGTCTTATCTGTGCCTCAGTGTGTGATAGCAAGTATCTTGGCGTCAGTTTAAGATAAATTGTGCACAGTAGGATGCATATTTTGTGAAGGTTGAACTTGGCCCACATGTATTTGCAGGATATTTCATGGTGAATATGCAAGAGAGTTATAGCAAAGGTAGATCTGTTGAACAAGTGAGAAGCTGGAGTACATTTAACTGAATCATTGACAGGGAGGAGAACCATTAATTAATGGATTTATTAAGTGAGAGTAGGTTTCAACAATAAAGTCTGTATTCTTTTAAAAAAAGTTAAGGTGAATTTGTATGTGTGAGCACTAAATTCAGTCTGGATGGGCTGAAGCACTGGAATAGATCACATCCTGATTTCTTACCTGCTTACTCATTAAGGTCAAGGTGAGATTGTTCATTTGCCTCAGTTGATGGGGAATGTGGTAAACTGAGGATGACCTTTTGAAACAGTTAATGGGAACCATAATGACATGGTGCTTGCAGGTGGGAGTTTATGCGATGAAATATGTCCAAACAGGGTTGATAGCGCTGCAGAGCCCCTTATTGAACCCTTGATGGTGCCATTCTAGCCTATCTATATTTCCAAAGAGTGGTGTGGCTTGGAAATCCTAACTCTCTTTGCATTGCCTACTCCTCCTTTTGATTCCTTTCAATGACATGCCTTATTTTCCTGACTTGACTCTGTAGATATCCTACTCACCAAGAAATGAGGATGACAGTGATGACTCGGAAGGGGAGAATCAAGAATTGGCGCTGATTGATCAAGGTAAGTAGGGAATAAAGAACTGTTTCATCCTGTATATTGTTGACTATGCTTGTGAAAATTGGTACAGATTGTGCACAGGTGCAACTAACCTAAAATATGTAAACTGTCAGGGAAATGACTTCAAGCCTTCAAGCAAATGTAAAAAAATTGATGTGGTGGGCAATCTGTTCATCCTTTGACTCTAACTTGGGCTGCCTTTTGACTCCAGACCCATCCGCCTCAATTGGGGAAAAGTGCTTTTTTTGGGAACTTTAGACTTGAAGACATTGCTGGGGCTTGAGAGTTTCAGTTATGAAGAAAGCCTATTAGATAGCCTGAGGTTATTATCCTTCGAGCAGACAAGACCGAGGTTGGTGGGGGGAGGGGATGTGATTGAGATGCATAAAATTATGAGGGGCATAGATAGGGTAGACAGGAAGACCTTTCCCATTGATGAAGGGATGTATGACCGAGGGCATATATTTAAAGTAAGGGACAGGAGGTTTAGAGGGGATGTGAGAAAATCCTTTACATTCAGTGAGGGTGGTAGGAATCTGGAACTCACTGCCTGTAAGGCTGGTAGATGCAGAGATGCTCTAACATTTAAGAAGTATTTAGACATGCACTTGAGATACCAGGGCATACATGGCTATGGGCCAAGTGCTTGAAAATGGGATTAGAATGGATAGGTGGTTATTTTTGACCAGCATGAGTACAATGGGCCAAGGGTCTTTTTCTGTGATGATCCGTATGACTCTAACTATGGTGCTCCCATGCATTCCAACCTTTTCTATTATCAGACAATGAGCCTCATTATTTCTATGGAGGTAGTGGAACCTCCATTACCATGTTTGAGTGGTAATTAATGATATGTGAGGAAAAACGGTCAGCTTTGCACTATTTGATCAAAAAGTGTATCATAGTCTTGACCTCATCCGTGCCATGCTTCCCTTTTCCTGCCCACTCAACCCCATTGATTCTCCAACCCACTGCTCCTACCACAGGCCTGCTTGAGTTCATATAAAGTGTGTGCTTGGATTTATTAAATATTAAAGTTGGCCTCCCCCAGTGGGCATGCAAACGGCAAATGATTCACACTTCACTTGACACTGAGTTTCTGTAACCAGGTAACTGCTTAGTAAGCTTTAGTAACCTAGGGAATGATGAGGCAGTCCCATTTATGTATTGGGGGCTAGAGTTACGTTTTGGTTAAGTACGTTTCTTTCTATGTTGAGAATTTTTCATGTCTCACCCATGTGTTTCATTGATACACAGGTGTTGCCCAAGACTGTTTTACCTGCATCATCCATCCTAGTTCCAATCAGCATGTAGTGATGATGTGTTTCCTCCAGTGTCTGCTACTAAGCTTTTTCAAGTTGCAGCCCCTTCCTGGTCAGTTCCTGAGTTATTCTGGAAGATATTCAGTGATGTGACACAGGATGGAGGGGAGCAATGGAATTGTTTGGAAAGCCCTCCAACCCTCTGAGATCTCTGTATTCCTCTAGCACGTCCTTCACTTTCTCCCTTGTGCCGAAGACAGCTGAAAGCATAGTCATAAACTGTGGAATTTTCTTCTTTATAGGTCTGAACCTTTTCTTCCACTTTCCTTTTTTTTTCTGAAGGATATTTCTCTTCCTCCATTAACTCTAGCTCTGAGTACTCACCTTCCTTTACTAATAGGGAAAATATGAGTAACCCTGTCAGTGCTGATGTATATATGAATTGCAGATTAATTGTGGTGAAGGTAATCAGGGAGAGAAGGGATGAAAAATGAATATTCAAGGGTCTTCAGTTTTTAGGAAGGACAAAGAGGAAAAGTCAGTGGGGTAGCATTCTTGGTTAAAGAGATCGTTAATATAATAGTAAGGAAGGATATAGGCTCTGGTGAAGTGGAGTCTGTATGGATAGAGCTTAGAAACACCAAGGGGGCAGAAAACAATAGTGGGGGCTATACATAAGCCTCCAAGCTGCAGTGATAACATTGGGGAAGGCATTAAACAGAAAATTAGAATTGCAAACAGGAAAGGTAGAGCTGTAATTATGGGTAGCTTAAATCTGCACATAAATTGGGCAAACCAAATCAGGAACTAAGCTGGAGAGGAGGAATTCCTGGAACGAGTATGCAATGGTTTTCTGGATCAGTATGTTGAACCAAACAGAGAACAGGCCTTTCTAGACTGGGTGTTGTGTAATGAGAAATGAATAGTTGGCAATCTAGCTGTAAGAGGCCCCTTATGAAATAGTGACCATAATTCTAGCCACGGAGGGAATACAACAAACGTTTACCAATTGATTCCTGGGATGGCAAGGCTGACATCTGCAGAGAAACTGGATCAGTTAGGACTATATTCACTGGAATGTAGAAGAATGAGGAAGAGGAGGATCTCCTAGAAACCTGTAAAATTTTATCAAGACTGAACAGGGTATATGCAAGAAGGATATCCCTCATGACCAGTAGTTGAGAACCAGGGCTATAGTCTAAGGAGGTAAGCCATTCAGGACAGAGATGAGGAGCAATTTCTTCACCTAGAGAATGGTGAGCCTATGGAATTCTCTACCACAGAAAGCAGTCGAGGGCAAAACATTGAATCTTTTCAAGAAGGAGTTAGATATAGTCATTAGGACTAAAGGGATTGAAGAGTATGGGGAGAAAGCAGGGACAAGGTACTGACTTAAATGCTCAGCCATGATTGTATTGAACAGTCGAGCTGGCTCAATGAAGGGCTGAATGGCCTACTCCTGCTCCTATTTTCTGTGTTCCTAAGGTAGCCAGGTATGCTATTGCAAGTTGTTGCCGAAATTGGAGAGATGAAGAGCAAAACAATGTGAATGTCGGATGAAGAGTGTGGGAGATCTTGGCCCATGATTTGTTCATGGGATGTGAGTGGCTCTGCTAAGTCTAACACTTGTTTTCCATCCCTGATTGCCCCTGAGAAGATGGTAGCAACCTGCCATCTGAACAATTGAATGGCTTACTGGGCCATTTCAGTTAACAGCCGATGACATTGCTGTGGCTCTGGAGTCATGTGTAGCCCAGACCTGGGTAAAGATGGCAGTTTTTGTCCCATGAGGGACATTAGCAAACCAGGCAAGTTTTTGCAACCATCTGGCTGCCTCAGGGTCACTTCTTGATGACTAGCTTTGTTTTCCAGATTCATTTTATTTAAAATCCTCAGCTGCCATTGTTGGATTTGAACTCTTGTTTCTGGATAATTAAATTCAGATTACCAGTCCAGTAACAGAACCACAACACCGCTGGCTAGGATTCAATCCTATTGCAATAGAATGACTTCAATTTTAAATCAATATGATGTTTTTGGACTAACAAGAAATTAATTATCACTTTTTGTTCAGTTGTAACTGTAAGCAAACTAAGTACAATATCTAGTTAGACTCTGGAGTCTATGTGTAGTGGTATCTTTGAGAATCGGCTAGTTAAAACTTTTCACAAGCTGCATTAAGCTTAAGGTATGCGGTCTATGCCAAATCCAAACCACAACTCAACCTATGAGAGTTGGCATGATGGGCTGAATGGCCTCTGTTTGTGTTGTATCATTGTGTTGCTTATTTATCCGAAAATGTAATTATGAAAGGCTTCATAAAATAGGATCTTGTTTTTCTAAACCCTTTGCAGAAAGTCAGAGGAATTGTCGCCTGTCATCATTGTCGCCCATCTGTCGAGAAAGTCAGAAGCGCCTCTGCGAAGTACGGACCGTATTTGATCCCCTGGACTGTGAGAGCTCCGAGGAAGAGCTTGAACGCATTAACAGAGAATTTGGAGGGGAGAAGCGCAAGTGGTCGCAGGTGAACAGACTCAGTTGCTACAGCGACAGTGCGTCGTCTAGCGACGAAGAGGTCAAAGACTTATGTGGCATGTCCTTCAAGCCTGTACCACAAGCCGATCAGAAGTACATCCACAGCAGCCCTGTGCCATTCAGTGCCACACCTCCCAAGAGACTCCATCCCTTGGTCCAGAGGCCATCAGGACAGATCATACTGCACAGTGTTGGCACCTCAGTTGACCAGGCAACACCATGCAAGCGGCACAGGCAGGGCCAAGACTTCAGCAGGCCAAGCCTGGATTTGGAGAAAATGCAACAGGTTGGTGCAAAGTTAACAGTGAATCTAACTGAAATGGGTCATACCTTTTTTTTCAAGTGGCGGAAGTATCATAAAATGCAGTCACTGAGAATGGGTGGGCCTGATGTAATGCAGTTCCTGTCAAATATGGCCTGCTGTTCTGAGAATCTGCATTAAAATAAGGCTGCAGGTGCTGAGCCCTGCTGATCATAACTCTTGAGGATCAATAAGTTCTATGTGGAGAAAACTACTGGGGTTAAGAAATTTCAGGTTTGTTCAGTTCCTCAGTGCCCACTGTACTTAGCACAAAAATGACTGGTGTCATGGAGTCACAGAGTCCTACAGCGCCGAAACAGGCCCTTCGGCCCAAACTGGTCCATGCCAACCAAAATGTCCATCCATGCTAACTCTATTTCCCTGCAAGGGGTGGCACGGTGGCTCAATGGTTAGCACTGCTGCCTCACAACGCCAGGGACCCGGGTTCGATTCCACCCTCGGGCGACTGTCGGTGTGGAGTTTGCACATTCTCCCCGTGTCTGTGTAGGTTTCCTCCCACAGTCCAAAGATGTGCAGGTTAGGTGGATTGGCCATGCTAAATTTCCCATAGTGTTCAGGGATGCGTAGATTAGGTGGGTTACAGGGGGATGGGTCTGGGTGGGATACTCTGAGGGTCGGTGTGGACTTGTTGGGCTGAAGGGCCTGTTTCCACAGTCTAGGGATTCTGTGACCTAAACCTTTCCTATCCATGTATTCATCCAAATGCCTTTTAAATGTTGTTAATGTACCCGCCTCAAGCACTTCCACTAGCAGCTCATTCCTATGCATACCACCCTCTGTGTAAAAAAAAAAAAAAAAAGTTGCCCCCTCCAGTTCCCATGTATTCTTTCCCCTTGGTGAGATTGAATTTAATACAGATTTCAAAGGTAGCTGAATGGTTTAGTTGTCCTTGGAACATGAGTAATGCAGACAAAGCCAGCATTTATTGCCCACTCCTAATTAGCCTTGAGATTGTGGCAGTGAACTGTTGCCTTAAACCACTGCATGCTATCTGGTACAGATACACCCCACAGTGTTGTTTTTAATCTGTGGCAATTTGATACAACTGAGATGGTCTCTGTGCTGTTTCAGAGGGAAGTTAAAAATCAACCACGTTAGTGTTGACCTGCAGACCAGGTAGGGACAGCAGATTTCTTTCCCTGAAGTGCGTAGGGTATTTATGAAAATCCAATAATTTCATGATCATTATTCATGAGACTGGCATTTTACTCTAGATTTATTATTGTAATTAAATTAAAAATGCTTCAGCTGCAATGATGACATTTGAACTTGTAACTCCAAAGTATGAATCTAGATTTCCCAATGTTAGTATGCTAATATTACCACTATCTAGTTCTTTGCATTGAATTCTGCTAGTACCTATCATAACCCAGAGACCCCAAAATGCTTTACAACCAATGATGTACCATTGAATGATTGTCGCTTATAATGCAGGACATGTGGCAGCCAATTTGTGTACATTGCTGTTCATGGAAACTCAATGTAATAATGACCTTATCTTGTTTTTAATGATATTGACTGAGGGATAAAGATTGACCAGGATACCAGGGGAACAACTGCCCCGGTTGTCTACAAAATTGGTGCAGTGGTATTTCTTGCCAGTGAGGCGATTAAAAGATGGCACCTCTGCCATTGCAGGATTTCCTCAGTACTGCATAGGAGTATAATGCTTCTTAGTCTCATGGTCAGAGAGTACCAGGTAAGTCTGTGGTGATTAATGCAGATGAAAAATCACTGCAATAACAGTGGTCTGTTTTCTTGTAACACTGGAAACCGTAGCAACAGTGATTTATGAAAAACAGACTGACTGTAACAGATGCTTTTTAAATTCAAATCGGTGAAAATATAGATTTCAGAGCAAATTCCTGACTCTTGCTGCTCGTAGCCACTAACTTGGTGGTAATGATGGAGAAATGTGTGTCTGGAGACTGTTCAACATTAAACTCGGATTTCCTTTAACAGGACGCAGGAGGGACAAGGTAAAGGGGTTTTGGGTGGGGGACAGCAGAGGAACGGAGAAAAGCTCTAGATAAAAGGGTTTTGAAGAAGAGTCCTTTGGTGCACATCAGCACACTTGCATTTCAGAAATGCTTGAAATGTTGTCTCGGGTTCTTATTATGTTGATTGGATTCAGTCAAATTCTTATCTGAGCTTTGGTAAACGTGATCATTAATGGCTTTTCTAACTGTTGACTATAGAAGTTTACTTTTTCATATGGGCAAATGAAAGTTCAAGTTAATCTCCAGAAACATGGCTGCATAACAGGTAGACAGACCTTGACTTAAGGCCTTACTGGAAAGATAACGTTCCTTCTCCTTGCCAGCCTCTGTACAGTATTGCACTGAAATATTCTGGCATTGACTGAAATTTTAAGTGGGAGGGTATTCATAATATAGTTTTGAAAACATGTAGGATCTTTTTAAGTTTTAAAATTAGGGGTGTAGATTATAAAAGGAAATATATAATTCATTTTACACAGTCTGTCTGTGTTTTTGTATGTACTTTTATAAAAGGCAGGTTTTTTAAAAAATGCAAAATTATAAAGCTTTCCAATGCAGTGAGTCTGATCTAGGAAGAGAGATTCTCAGATAAACCTGGGTTGACACACACAAGCAAAATGTTCTGATGCAAGCCAGCAGTAAAGTTGCAGGAGTTGTGACTACATGTGCAGTAAATGCACCCCCTGAGGATGTGATGGCAGCTAATGTCCATCCCTATTTACTCTGGAGAAACTGGTGATGGGCTGTGACCTACTGCAGTCCTTGAGGTAGCGGCACCCAGAAAGTCATTCTCACATCTCGGCTGTTCTCTGGGTGATTATCTGTGGACACAGACTGTAATACAGTCTATAGAGATAGTAGGAACTGCAGATGCTGGAGAATCTGAGATAACAAGGTGTAGAGTTGGATGAACACAGCAGGCCAAGCAGCATCAGAGGAGCAGGAAGGCTGAAGTTTCGGGTCTACTGAAGAATTCAGTAGACCCGAAACTTCAGCCTTCCTGCTCCTCTGATGCTGCTTGGCCTGCTGTGTTCATCCAGCTCTACACCTTGTTATCTCTGTAATACAGTCTGTCTTGTTCACTGAACTCCATTGATGGAACATCAAGGGGTCTCGTGCATCCAATATTCCTGAAACCTTAGTAGGAAAGGATGCAATGGAAGATAGTTCTCCCCCGTCAACAGCTGAAGCCTCAATTCCAGCACTTCCAGATAGGGAGGCTGGTAAGGACACATTCATCTGGGCAAGGCATCATAGAAGAGGCACTGGCATATGGTAGTAAAGTGGTCAGGCTGCACAGCCTCCTAGTTTTGTCCAGGAAACTCTTTATTGCCTACCAGGAGCTGCAGCATTGTCAGCTGATAGGTGGTTTTGATAATGTAAAATTTCTTCACTGTAGAATCACAATTGTCTCCCATGCATGCTGCAAGTACTTTGATTTTATTTAGAATCATGATGGGGAAAGGGGATGAGAGTGGATGCACGTGTTTATGGTTACATGGCTGTGAAAGGTGCACCACTGTTAAATCCCACCTGTAACCACTATTGTAATACAAGAAACTTTCTGTGATCAATGTTGGCACACTGGCAAAATCACTTAACTTTCCATTAAAAGTTCAATAAAAATTGAATCTCCCTTTTAGTCTCCCTCTAATAATTCTTTTTGTCTCCTGCTTGCTGTCATCCTTGAAAACCACTCTAATCTTGCCTGAAGGATACAGTATAAATATACGGTTGTTTGGAATTCTGGGTGCAGTTTTTATGGACAAGAGAAGGAAGTAGAACAAAGACAAAAAGAGGGAAAAAAGAGCAGGGCAAGAGATGGGGTAAAATGTAAACTAATGCCATGCTGATTTGGAGCAGCACAGTGGAACAGTGGTAAACACTGCTGCCTCACAGCCCCAGGGACCTGGGTTCAATTCCAGCCCTGGGTGACTGTCTGTGAGGAGTTTGCATATTCTCCCTGTGTCTGCGTGGGTTTCCTCCGGCTGCTCCAGTTTCCTCTCAAGGTACAAAGATGTGCAGTTTAGTTGGATTGGCCATGCTAAATTGCCCCATAACGTCCAGGGATGTGTAGGTGAGTTAGTCATGATAAATGTGGGGTTACAGGGACAGGGCGGCTTCGGGTGGGATGCGCTTTGGAAGGTCAGTGCAGACTTTGTGGGCTGAATGGCCTCTATCTGCTGTTTAGGGATTTCATGATTCTATGACTGTCTATTGAACACTGTGCCACGTTGACTGCAGTGTAGCTGGAAGAGTAACTTTGCCAAACTGGTGACCCCACAATGGTTCCACCTGGAAGCTGGGCATCATATATATTGGCCCCATTTCACAGCGCTGACTTCTGTTTGAAAACTTCTAACACATTTTATCATTCAGAAAGAACTGGCTGTTCTGTCAGCTTTGAATGAAGATTAAAACTGCAGTGGTTCCCTGAATATTGCAGAGTCCGAGCTATCATGAATGCACAGTGATCTGTCCAATCTCGCTTCATTGTAAGATCTTTTTCCTCGTAAGACCTTCCCTCCATTCCAGGCAATGCCCTGGTAAATCTCCTCTTCACCTTTTCCAATGCTTCCACAACTTTCCTGTAATGAGGCGACCAGAAATGGACACAATACTCCAGATGTGGCTGAACCAGGCTTTTGTATAGCGGGAGCATAACTTCACGGCTCTTGAACTCAATCCCTCTAATAATGAAAGCTAACACACCATACGCCTTCTTAACAACTCTATCCACCTGGGTGGCAGCTTTCAGGGAACTGTGGACATGAACCCCAAGATCCCTCTGCTCCTCCACACTGCCAAGAATCTTTCCGTTAACCCTGTATTCTGCTTTCAAATTTGTCCTTCCAAAATGAATCACCTCACATTTTTCAGGGTTAAACTCCATCTGCCACTTCTCAACACAGCTCTGCATCCTATCGATGTCCCTTTGTAACCTAGAACAGCCCTCCGCAGTGT